TTCTGAATTAACTTGTTGCCCTACCATCTCTCCAAACTTCTCAATTATTTCTTTCACCTTCTAAACTTTAGTGAGTTCAGCCTTGCAAAGTATGAAACAATCATGCACAAAAAATAAATGAGTAGTTGAAGGAGCATCTTTTGCTATTTTGATACCTTGGACCTCTCTTCTTATATGAGTTAGAGCTTGCATGCCAATGATAAAAAGGTATGGTGATAGAGGATCACCGTGCAGTTCACTTTTAGGTTTAAAAAACTTAATAGGACTTCCACTTATCAAGATAGAGTAAGAGATTGTAGAAACGCAATGAGAAATCCAATGATTTCACTTGCTTGGGAAACCCATCTTTTGAAGCACACTTCTCAAATGGTCCAATCCATTTTGTCAAAGGCTTTTGGACATGTCAATCTTGATTGCTACCCATTTTTGTTTGGTTTTCCTATTCTTTCTCATTGTGTGAATTATTTCTTGAGCTAGAATCAAGGTTCAAAGTATTGTTACAGGGCGATACGCCGCTAATAGGGCGTATCGGCCTATATCGATCCTTTTTTTAAGTTTTATTTATTTTTTCCAATACCGGTTCAAAGGGGTTGGTTTAAGTGCCGGCGACCCTCTGAACTAGGCCCTGACCCGATACAACCCCTGTAGGGGCATATCGGGAAGGGGCCGATACGATACGTAACGGGTGATAAGGGTCAATACGTAACAATTTTTTAAACCTTGGCTAGAATAATATTGTCCATCACTTGTTTGCCCTACACAAAGCCAACTTGGTTGGGAGCAATAAATCTAGTAGTAAAGATTTTAATCTATTTGCTATGATTTTAGCAATTTCTACTTAACATTACCGAGTCCAATATGCCTAAACTGAGAAGACATTTTAGGACTCGTAACTTTAGGTATGAAAATAAGATTGGTGTGGTTTAGCTCCTTCCATAAAGATCTTGAAGAAAAGAATTGTTGAACCATTTGAGTATTTCCCAATATTTTAGATAGCAAAACACAATATACCCATCTAGACTTGATGCTTTGAAGGGATTTCATTTGATTTATAGTCTCCCACACTTTCTCTTTTGATGGCAATTTTAGCAACTGTTCTACTTGGGTTAGGTCAACAATATTAAAATTTAGGTCTTGACAAATGTCTTCATCGACGGAGGCAGCAACTGCACAGGCTTTAAGATATTCTTGTTGAAGGCCCTTTACAATTTTTCTCGTGTTGTTAAGTCATTACCATCATCATCTCTTAGCCATTCAATGGAATTGAATTTCCTTCTATTTTTCACCATTGAACAAAAAAAATTTGATGTTTTGTCTCCATGTTCTAACCATAGCTGTCGGGATTTTAATTGCCACATTTGTTCTTCTCTCTTCAACCAAGTAAGATATTGTCATTTGACTTGTATAAATTTTTCTTCACTTTCAAGGCCTTCTTCCTCCATTTGTTGCAATTACTTGGATAAGCTAACAATTTTATCTTGAACCCAACCAAAACTTTCTTTGTTCCACTTCCACAATTCTCGTTTTAGCTTATGAAGTTTAGTAACAACTCTATAAGTTGCATGCCCAAAACATTAGTTAATTTCCCAAGTTTAATTACTTTATCCATTCTTTCACATTCTTCACTTTCTCCCCACATAGGTTGAAAGATAAGTGAGTTTTTACTCATTACTTGTGGGGGTTGAGTATTAAGAAATATGGGGGAATGTTCAGATTCAATAGGTGTTAGATGCCAAATTTTAGCATTCTCATACATGCTACAACACTACTCTAAATTGGCAGCCACCTTATCCAGCCTTTCTCTATATTTCTTTTAAAGATAAAAAATGAGGGGAAGCATGTTTCCTCTTTGTTCCTCTTCCTATATATCCATTTTCTTCACCCAAATCATTAAAGTCTCCCATTACTAACCATGACAAGTTGGTGGTGTTTGCTTCTAACTCCATCCTTCTCCAAAATTCTTTTCTAGTTGATTTTATAGGAGGATGTGATTGAATTATTAGCTTCATCAAATTACCATTTGAATTGATTACTCTAATGACTATACTTTCTTTCCAAGCATAAATTAGCCCTCCACTAGGCCCTATGGAAGCAACAATGTGCCCATTTCATGAAAGCCACTCTTTGAACAAGCTAGTTCCTGCTTTCCCTAATTTTGTTTTTGAAAGGAAAATGATGTATGGATTATGCTTAAGGATTAGTTTTTTTAGGTGTTTGAGTGTCTATGCTTCCACATTCTCTAGTATTCCAAGCTAAACATTTCTTGATGAGAGGTAGAAAAGAGTCAAACCAAGGATTAAAATATCGGTATCAGGTATCGTATCGGACAACTTAGATACAAATACGAATATGGATATCCTTGGGAAACGCATGGAAACGAATGAAAAAACATGAAAACGCTTGGATACAGTAAGAAAATGCACACAAATTCCATAAATATATTAATGGCATTAAGTTTAATGTCAAAACAACTATAAATATATAGGAATTGTATATTTAAATGATATATATATATATATATATATATATACATACGAAGAAAAATATTATAATTAATATAATAGGACATGTAGATATTATACAATTTCATTAATAATGCTTCAATCAAGAGTCCAAGGCAAATATTAAATAGATTTTTTTATAAATTAATACATGAAAAAAACCAATATTATTTTATTATCTATTAAAGTGTAAGGCATAAAGCATATGCAACTATTATATTTAAATTATTATATCATTTTTTCTATTTTTCTATTTTTATTTTTTTAACATTAACAAAAAAATTCAAGTAAAAAATTAATTCTTAACTGTTTGATAAATAAAATTTATATTTTTGTAAACAATAAATATGTTATTATAAAATGTAAATTAAAATATCAATTAATAATTWATAMAAATWTATAATCTTAACWTAAAATATATCAAATCTATTAAAATTTTGAAAATGCATATCATATGAAAATTCATAAATTTTAATTACTAAAATAATTATTCCATTATTAATATTTTATGTTTATTAAATTTTGAAGTTAAAAATTATTTTTATATAAAATGTAGATTAATGGTTTTGATAGATTCAATTTATACTATATTCTCAAATACTTTGTAAACAATACTTTTATTTTGTAAATAATAAATATGTTGGTATTTAATGCAAATTAAAATATTAATTAATAATTTATAAAAATTTAAGATATATATACCATATGCAAATTTATAAAGTTAAAGTATTAAAATAATTATTCTATTATGAATATTTTATTTGTATAAATTTTGAAATTAAAATTCATTTTTGATATACATATATATATGTGGATTTTATAAATTATTTATTCCATTGATTTATAAAATACTAATTTGAATATTGTTCTTTTTAATTTATAGTTGAAGTTTTTGAAAATAAATGTATGTTGTTTTTTATTTGAATGTAAACATTAAGTTTAATAAAAGTTATTTTATTACACATATTAACATGAAATAACAAATGACTTTGTGGTTAATGTACATGCACGCTTGGGCAATGGGCATTCACCATCTTGTGTTTGAGTCACACTCACCTAGTTTTTTTATTGTGAGACGCTGGTCAATACACTTTGTATTGGCTGATACTATGCGATACGTGCGTATTGGACCAATACGCACGACTGGCTGGATACACCTACAACCATAGCGTATTCCATATCGGTGTAGTCCGATACTGATACGATACGCCCCGTATCGGGTGTATTATATTGATATTTTAATCCTTGAGTCAAACCACTCAAATGAGATACATCAATTCCATCTATTGTTTGTTAACTTATTTTGGTCTCAACATCTTTGATGTGTTTCAAGAAGGATTTGTAAATGAATGTATGCACATCTACCAAAAGCTTGTGGGCTATTGCAAATCTTCATTTACACAATAGGGCCAATGCAATTATAAGAAGGATGACAGGCTGAATGCACATGATTCAGCCCTGTAGTTCCTTTCAACTTTTTATGGTCTACTAGCTACAATCTTCTTCAAATCCATAGGATCCATTTTTTCCTTGTTTTCTTATAAAATTTCAAAATAAACGTTTGTATTTGATTTGTCTTCAAAACCGAGAAAAAGTTGTTGGTAAACATTTTTCTGGTATTTGTTGATAGCTAAATGCCACTAGGCACCACAAAAGAAGAACAATAAATAAATACCTTTGTGTTGGGGGAAACATTAAAATGAAACTTTCCCCAATGGTTGATTTACACGTAAACCAAGACAAATATTTATAAGATAAATAGGCGTATGAAATAACATGATAGGACAAATGCCCACAAATAGAAGCCATACCTAACACCTTGCAAATTATGATCATTAAAAAGAAAGAAAATAAATGATTTTTGGCAAAATCTATGGTGCATAGACTAATGATAAATATAATACATCATAACTATAATATTTAATATTGTTAAAATCTTAATGATAAAATATGAATGAATAAAAGGTATTAATAAGGTAGAATAAATATTCATAAATGTAACGTACTTAGACTCATGGGTCAAGCTCAGGCCCAAAATGCCAATTCTGACTTTTTTTGGACTGGACTCAGATTCTCTCAAAAAAGTCTGGCTTGAGTCGGAGTCTAACTTGATAATATATTATATAGTAAAAGTATATTTTGTATAATAAATAAATATATATATATATAATATGTTATTTTCTTTCTTACTCTTTTCTTTTTCAAACCATATTGAAATCTTTTCTTTCTTACTATTTTTTATTAAAATAAAAAAGAAAAAAATCTTTTATTTTCAATTTTCTGATTAAATTTCATGCTCAAAACCTAGTCCCAATGGTCAGTTCGGGCTTAGGCTTGTCTGTATGGGCCCGCCCCATGAACAGTCTTAGATAGTAGACACCAGCTTAGGACGCTAATTTAATCACCACTTGAGTCACTTTACTTGACCTGTTTGCCCGTTCAATTTGTTATCGAACCCGACGCCGTCCACACCAAACCCGACGCCATCCATACCTAACCTAACCCTTCAGAAAATTTTCGGCAGTGATTTTTGTATCATTTGCACAGAAATATAGAGAGAATCTCTCGTGACTATTTATGCACGAAAGAGGAAGTTTTGATTTAGAAAAAGGAAAAAAAGAAAAAGTGAGTTTTTACTTCGTAACAGTTGACCAACCGAGTGTTCTTTGAGATGTATCTGAGCTGGTAGTGCTCATCTGTTCTCTGGTCAAAGGACCATTTGTTATTTCACGACAGTCTTTTCTCAGAAAGAGAAGGGTTCTTGGTTTGTCGAGGCTCACATTCATCTTCCGGTGCGTTTCTTTCTCTTCCTTCCCATTTCTGTTTGATTTATAATTTGGGTGTTTCATAAATCAAGCATTTGAGATATCATCTTAGTGGGCTCTTCTCTGCGGTTTCTTGTGGGGTTGATAGATTAGCAATTTTCAAAAGTATGTTCGTGATATTTCATTTTTTTTTATCTGGGCGTTTTGCTAAATTGGCATTAATGTTGCTCTGTTTTGTTCGGTTCCTTTTTCGGTTTTTCCCCAATTGAAATGCTGAATTAGTACTGATGTTGAAGAGACCTGATTAGGCTTCTTCTTTTCTTTTTTAATTTTTTTCTGAAGGTTGATAGATTAGAAATGCTAATGAAGTTCTATCCTGTCTGATTTACTTAGTTAGTAGGTCAACCATTCTTGAAACCTTGATACTATAGAGTTAAATAAATGCTGAAAGAAAAAATGGTGGATTCACAGAATAGTTAAGCGTTGCATATAGATAGAAAACCAAATCAAACATGGTATGCGAATAAGATTTAATGTCTTGTGGATGAACAGGGCCAAACAAAACATGACGAGGTCGCTTAGTTTAATTGTCATCAGCTCCATTTGATTTTATTGTTTAAGAATGGATTTGTTTTCCCCTCTTTCTTTAAAATGAATATTCACAGTAAATGCCACATTTCTTTGGACTATGATCTCACAATTTCTTCACAACAGGTCTTCTTCCTCAATGTGTTTGAGGAATGCAAGTACAAAGAAAGGCAAATCCAAATCACAACTGTCAACTGGTGCTTGTGCATCCACTAGTTTATCAGTTCTCAATAAAAAGATCTAGCACATGATCATAACCATTTTAACAAACTTCTTTTCATCCTATGCAATCAAAAGAATGATATCAAGTCTGCTTTTTGTAACCATCCAACTTAGGTGGTATCCATCATTGTTTGGTTTCCCCTTTACCAGTATCTGCGCTAAAGAAGTTTTGATCAAGCAGATACATTTGAGTTGTTTAGCACTTTGTGGTGCTGGATGTGTTTCATAAGTCAAGGGTTTATTAACATGGTTGAAATTTATCATATCTCTTTTGTTTATCCCTTTTCTTGTCTTTCTTGTGCAGCATGTCAAATTAAAATGTATTGGAAGTAGAAGAGTTATCAGGTTCTTTCCCTAAAAAATCTTTAATTTCCCCCTTTACAGGTCTCTTTATTTTCTTGAAGATCTAATTATCTACGAAGACATGAAGCTGCTTCTTTTGGTCTTCAGATTGTCTAAGTAAGCTCAGCCTTGAAAGGTAGGATTACGGGATAAACAGAGTGAAGAATGATAAAGTTTAGCAGCCATTTGTGATGTCCATATCTGGAATTATAAGTGAAGTATGAAGAAGATGAATTTTCCAAAGCGGTATATCATTGTTTTTTTAACCTTCATCTGCACTTCTGTTTGCTATATAGAACGTGTGGGCTTTTCAATTGCTTACACAGTAGCTGCTGATTCTATGGGGATTAACCAATCAAGCAAGGGAACTATACTTTCTACATTCTATTATGGTTACGCTTGTTCACAGGTTCCTGGAGGATGGGCAGCCCACAAGATAGGGGGAAGGCGTGTGCTTCTCCTATCATTTCTGTTGTGGTCTCTGACTTGTGCCTTGGTTCCACTAGACCCAAAGCGAGTCAATATTTTGGTGATGGCCCGGTTGCTTGTTGGGGTGGCACAAGGTTTCATCTTCCCATCCATCCACACTGTCCTAGCACAATGGGTTCCTCCACATGAGCGATCACGATCTGTTTCTCTTACAACTTCTGGCATGTACCTAGGTGCAGCAGCTGGTATGCTTCTACTCCCAAGCTTGGTGAAATTCAAAGGACCCCAATCAGTATTTTTGGCTGAAGCTGCACTAGGTGCCATGTGGTCCCTACTTTGGTTCAAATATGCTAGTGACCCACCTCGTTCGGACCATCCAAAGGCAACAGCTGCTGGTTTTGGGGAGACTTTACTGCCGATTAAAGGAGGTTTGCAGAAAATGAAGGTGGATAATGGAGTAAGTTTGGTCCGTCCTGTCAAGGTCCCATGGAAAAGAATGCTAATCAGTTTGCCAATTTGGGCAATAGTGGTGAATAACTTCACATTCCATTATGCTTTGTATGTGCTGATGAACTGGTTGCCCACATACTTCAAACAGGGACTCCATCTTAGTCTTCAGGATATGGGTTCTTCCAAAATGTTTCCCTATCTCAACATGTTCATATTCTCCAATATAGGTGGGGTAGTTGCTGACCACTTGATCACCAGGAGGATCATGTCAGTTACCAGGACCCGTAAATTCTTGAATACCATAGGGTTCATGGTGGCATCCCTTGCTTTGATGGCACTTCCTATGTTCAAAACCTCTGGTGGTGCAATCTTTTGTTCCTCAGTGGCCCTTGGTCTCCTTGCCCTGGGAAGAGCTGGGTTTGCAGTGAACCACATGGATGTTGCTCCAAGGTATGCAGGAATAGTGATGGGACTTTCCAATACAGCAGGGACATTGGCAGGCATTGTTGGGGTTGGTCTAACAGGGTGGCTTCTAGAAGCTGCTAAAGCTGCCAATTTGGATCTTTCAAGTCCAGAAAGCTGGAGATCAGTGTTCTTCATTCCAGGGTACCTCTGCATTTTCAGTTCAGTTGTGTTTCTACTGTTCTCCACTGGAGAGAGAATTTTTGAATGAGTGTCAATCTTCTAGTTTCTGCATGTTTCTGAAAAATATTCAATGTTTCCTCAATACTCTGATTTCATAGAGGATCTCTTTTCCCTAGAAAATTGCATATTTATGGAAATTCTCTCATATAAATCGGTTTTTCAATGAATGATACAAACTTCTAATTTGTTACTTTGATACCTCATATGCTGACAAAGGCTTTCTGACCAAGCATTAGAGATTTTGGATCTATTTTATATGATTCAACTGATGCAAAAGCATTTTAAGGTACTCATTATCTGTATATCAATGAGCACATTCCAGAAGGTGATCGTGATTGCTGAATCTTATTGTTGGAACTGGAGGAAAATAGAATCTATCCTAACCTAGTAGCCAATGATACAATATTGGCATGAAGATGCTTGAAATGGTATTAGACAAGGAATTTACACCAAAAATTGAAGTATCTTGTACAACATGGCATCCATATAAAGGTATCTGGGTATCATAGTTCCTTGCTTGTAAGTCTCCTATATGAAATCTCAAAGGCCTAGAGAAAGTGTTCTTTTTTCTGAAAGCTGCTTCTGGGATCCATCCTGATAAATTGACCCTAATTATGAGATTTTAGTTGCATAGATACTGAAAGCCTTGTGCAAGGCCCTAGAATCCATGGAGCAAGTTATTGCTAGCCAATTTGCATGGGCTGTATGATTTTGGTCACTTGGCCTATCTAGACAGTTGTTATCAATAATTCCAGTTATATGAATAATGCCATTGCCATCTACAGAACTTGCAACCAGTCGGTTTTTAAGAAGAACAAAGCCTTGAACTGAAACAATAAGTTTGAAGTTAAGTTCAATACCATGGTTCTCTCCAAGGTGCATATATATATGCATAAAATAAACAAATAAATGAAGCTGAACTTGTTACTGCTTCTTCCAATGTCTATAATGCTCAAATTAAGGAGGTAGAGTGATGCAAGCATGTAAGCAATGGAAAAACTTGTGGAATACCTATAAAAAAGAAGGGAAATATTTGTTGAAGAAGAAATCGAGATTTTTCATTTCCTAAACCAATGGCAATTTCATAATTTCTGGGTGATTTAGATTTTAGTTCTTTTTGAGATTTTTAAATTTATTTTCTAATTTTATATTTTCTTAGAAGTAGGGTTAGTTATTTTAAAGGCTCAAATTAGTTTATAAAGTCTTATTAGGGAGTTTTTGAAAATTTGAAAAGTTGAAGATGCAACCACACAATTTTTATTTAGACATATTTTTCAAGGGTCAAAGTTTGTTTATCTTGTATGCTTTTGGTGTCATTAGATAGGTAATTGAGTTATCAGTTATCCATCCATTAAAAGTATCATCTTGAAAATCTGACATTTTAAATGAGTTATGATCATTTTACTATTATGATGTCAGGTCTTTCTATTTCTTTAGGTTGAGGGTGGCCTTGCTGCAACGGTTGGGTTGCTCTATTACGACCTGGGTGACCAGGGTTCAAATCTTGGAAAGAACCTCTCTGTATGTGCAGGGGTAAGGCTGCATACATCTGTCCCTCCCCAGGCCCAGCATTGGTGGGAGCATTGTGCAACCTTTAGTAGGTTTAGTAAAATGTTACTAGGGTTATTTTTAGTGAATTCTTTTACTGTTGATTATAAAAAAGTATTGTTTGAATCAAAATCCTTATTTGAGAGCCCTTGTCTTTAACCCACAAAAGAGTCTTTGTAATTGGAATTCTAGAGTTAAATCGAGGGAATGTAAAGTTGTTTAAAGTTAGCTGTGGGTAAGAGTGTCCTCTTCCTAACTCTCTCTCTCTCTCTTTCTCTTCTAAAAGTGGATTTTTTTTTTCTCTTTATAATTTTTGTCTTCTCTACTAAGATCTTAATCTTTCTTTCTTTCTCTCTCTCTCATAATTTAGATCCTTGATTTCTCTTCTTTACCCAACACGTTTATTTTAGTAGGATTTTCTTTTTTTTTTTGATCAATAGCTTTAGTAGGACTTTCATCATCCCATTCTACAATATAGAAGCTACTCTTTTTTATAGGTGTTCTAATCATCAGAAAAACTTGCCTTTTGAAATGCATTTTGCTAAGAAGTAAGGTACTGAAGAAATTCTAATTACCAGTGTTTAAAAAACTGGCCTGAAACAAAACCATTTTTCCATCTAGTGGCGGGTCAGCAGCTCAATCCTCTGGGGAAAACGGGTTAACTCATGATGCCAATAAAATGAATATATATATATATATATGTTTATTATTCATTTTGAGAGAGAGAGAGAGAGATTGATCCTTGCTGCCTCCATTTTAATAAATTAAAATTCAGCACAAGGTATGGTTGGGCCTGTCTGTGCTTGTTCATGCTTCAAGACCAATAGGCTTTCGCATGGGGGGGGGGGCATGTTTGAGACAAATATCTATTCAAGGATCTCACCTAACAGCTTAAGCTTTTAGGTTGAACAGTTCTGAATATAAAATTACATAAATTAGAAAAATTGTAGGAACATTGCAGAAAAAAATTGGGCATTTTTCTAATGTTATATATTTATCATATCAAGTAAAAATAAGTGTGATAATTGAGAACTATTGTTAGCATTGATTGAAATGGATAAAAATACGAAAAAAAAGAAGAAAAGAAGAAAGACCTAATCCTTGACCAGTTGACTGGGTCAAATGGTTCAGCGGTTTAAATGGATGGGTCACTGGGTCATTGACTGAGTCAATGGTTTTTTTTTGCTGTGAATGGTCTGACCAGCCGATTTGATATTGGGTTGAAAACACTGCTAATTACTAGTCACTTTGTTTTCTTTCTTTTTTTTTTTTTGAGTTAGCAACAAAAAAGAAAAAAAAACATTTTTACTAATAATTATGAAGATAAAATACATCTATGCCTCCCACCCCTTATGGGCAGTTAGCTTCTGCTAGCCACCACAGCAATATTACAAGATCCCCTCCTAGGGGACCTGATCCTCGGTAGAACTAATTTCTATTCACCCCCACTTTTTCCAACCCATAAGTTAAACTGTTGGCTGAATGTGGTGTCCCTTAAATTGCATTTATACTTCTATGGTCTTTAGGTATTGTTTCTAATCCAGCCTATGTCAAATAAAAGTCTCATTCAATCAAAATGTCTTTGAAGTCTAAGGATTTTACTATCCTCAATCCATAAAGCATGGCCCGTATTCTGTCTAGATGGAGTCCCCAAGGTCAGCAGGTCCTGACTAGAAGGCCAAGATGTTACCTTCCCAGTTTGTAAGCATGCCCCCTACTCTAGAGGGGCCTGGATTCCCTAAACTGCATCCCTTGAAGTTCATTGAGGGTGTTTTGAGGCAGGGGATTCGAAAGAGGTGCAGGGATGATTCTATCCATAGAGATAGATGCCACAAGGTTTCAATTTCAGATAATGTCATCTGAGATGAAAGGACCTTAATAGAGATATTTTCTGTGATAGCACTTTTGCTCTTAGAATGGTTTTTTTTTTTTGAATATTCTAGAATTTGACCCCCATATGCACCATAGTTGAGCTGCTCTTGTATGCTCAATGAATTTTACTTCTTTTCTTTGAAGAAGAGAAGAAAGAGTTGCTGAATAGACTATTGATGTCTCCCAGGGGGTTCCATCTGTAACCAGACAAAGAAAAGAAAAACTTCCAATTTCTGTACACTTATTGGCAGGAAATTGGCAGATGAAAAATAATTTCACCACTTGCTTCATAAAAGAAACATATGTAATGAAAAACTCCCAAATCATTGTTTTGTTTTCAGGCTTGATTAGAACTGGAGACTCATTAAGAGCAGAATTGGTGGCAGTACTACAGGTTGCAGCTGGCAAAAGAAATGCAATTGAGAAACTAATTATTGAAGGAGACTCTGAGATGGTGATTAGCTGGCTACTCAATAGTGAGACTGCCTTATGGACATGGAATTAATATATGAATACGAATGATTTATATGTTTTAGCAAAAGAAATGCTTTAGCAAAACAAGGGGTGAGTTAGAACAATTCTTTTGGGCACAATTATGAGAAAATATAGGCCTTTTGGGGGAGACAGTTTCTACTATACTCTCTGAAGACTGAATGTAATATCTGTAGTCTGTACATATCTATTGGTTTTTATTTAATAAAGCTAATAGTTATTCATAAAAAAGGGCCTTTACCTTTGAAGGTTCCCACAAGTGTTTTCTTTCTTGATAAATTTACCCAGCATGTCTAAGAAAACCTCCATCTTTAAGTAGAGATTTTTCTTGGTTTTATTTCTAGAGTCATGTTACCTTGTTTTTGCTTGTTGAAATTGTTTCTTCACTTTAAAACTCATATTTAGTTGCTTTTCCACTTTTTCTTTTGGGACATACAAATGAAACAGTATATGTAACAGAAATTGCAAATCAATGACATAGTTACAAATCCTTGTTGAATTGCAATTGTTCTTGCAGATCAATGGCATGGTTGTAGTTGCAATTGTCAGATCTAAATTCTAAATTTTCTGTTATTTCTTTAACATTTTTATTAAAAGAACAATTGTTGGGTGGGATGAACTGAACTGAAATGCAGTTTCTATGTTATGTGTGAGTTTTGTTCTTTAAATCTGGGTATAGGTGGTTCTTGCTTTGACAAGTTATGTTACAAATGTAGAAGCAATCATGAAGAAAAAAATATAAAATTCTGTTAATGGATATGGTATTATTGAAGCATGGAGTTGAGTCGGGCACTCAGCATGTTGGAAATATGTGTATTATTGAAACATTTCTGTCTACCTTTTCCTCTTATTCTTTCTCTTTTTTATTTTTATTTTTTTTATAATTGAAATGATTTTATAAATCAGCAATAAAAATAGTACAAAGTCCTCTTGGAAAGGTATGAATTGCAACCTCTCCGGACTGGTTAAGTACAGATTTCCGAATTAATAACAACTTACATAGAAGCACAGAAAAGATCTTCCCTAGTGTTAGCGTAGGGGTATTTCTGTCTTTATACCTAGACTAATGTTGCTGATCTGTAATGTTGTGTTGGAACCAGTGCTCCTCACTTAAATAAGGGCACATATGTCTTTTCAACTATTTTTAATAATATAAGTACTGTTTGGCCGACTGGGAGAAGGTGATGTTGAGACTTCCAGTTCGAACCAGATTTTCTCCCTTCTCTCTTTCTCTCTTTCTTCCACCTTTCTACTTCTTTCTACATAACTGATCTCAGA